GCCCAGCACGCCACGCACGCCGGCCACGCCACGCCACGCCACGCCACGCCACGCCACGCACGCCACGCCACGCCACGCCACGCCACGCCACGCACGCCACGCCACGCCCGCCACGCCAGCCACGCCACGCCACGCCACGCCACGCCACGCCACGCCACGCCAGCCACGCCACGCCACGCCACGCACCACGCTAGATCTCGGTCTAACCTATGGCTAGGTTCGTTCACGTGCATCACGTCGGGCGGCTTTTCGCGATTTCAATTGTATGGTTTACATGAACGGCGTGTGGAGCGAATAAGGGTGTGTCCATAAGTTAATTACATTGATCCAAAAGTATCCCGACTTGTACAACTTATTCTTGTAACAACATAAGTTGATTTTAAAATTTTTTGTCGCCAGACTGCAGGTCATTAGCGCCATGTATACTATCTTCTAAATGCAATAAATAAATTATATCCTTCAGAATTTGAAAACATTACTCGTGTATGTAAGTAATTGTGGAGGAGACAATTATGAAAGGTGAATATGTAATACTTCTTCGGATTGGTGGAGGTGACCAGGCAAAGTTATACCACGTCGTCGTTGAAGTGGAGCTTAAGACGACCATGAAGTTCCATTTTTATGTCGCGTGTGTGGACAACTGTCTTTCTAAAGAGGGGAGTTCAGTTCCTTGCTTAGCAGCTGAATCTACCAGGATATTGCCTTGGATTCCTTTTGTGCATGGTATCCCCGAAAGAATTGTTCATTTATTTTGTGACAAATCATTGTAAATTGATGCTATTTTATAATTGCTCTCTTGTTATTTTAATTACATGACAATTAGGTTTTATTTAAGATATTACGCAAAACTCTATAGTGAAACTATAGCAGGCTAGCTAATACTATCTGTATCAGGGTTATACTCTACAAAAAAAAAAAAACAACAAAAAAAAAAAAACAGGACTATTTATAAGGTGGGCAATATTAGTAAAACAATACATTTGTTGCAGCGTGAGAAATTCTAAGTTCTTATTTTAATCCACATTGGATTCATTAATCAATGTAAATTACTTTGTCTGTCTTATTTTTTAATATTCGTCTTATCAAACTATGTAAAGTTAAAGGTAAAACTTTTCTTAAGTTTTCAAACAAATCATTCATGCAGTTATGATCTCTGTCCTTGAGTTTTAATATTATTGTATTCATTTGTACTATATTTCTGCAAATGTTTGTTTTACCTTAAGTGTACTTAATTTTCATTCTTTTTCGGAATTTAATATATTGCTTGAGCTGGCAAAAAAACAATGGCCGCCAATTACAGACTAACTAAACAAAATTTTTAAATGAACTATTTACTGATGGTCGATAAAAACTTTAAAATTTGTATTACCCAAGTATACTGCATTAGTCACGGGCTCCTGAAACGACATGTATACTGTCTTGGTTGCACCCCGCCCCCCCCGCCCCCCCCCCCACCCCATGAAGAAAAAATTAATTGTACATTTCACGCACTTGGGACCACAGTTGAAAGTTCAACACATTATGTCGCAAATAAATTTTCGCTTTCGCAATCGGTCTATCGTTGAAACCCCCATAGCTACAAAGAGGTGCAGTAATTGTCATAAATTATCTTTTGACGGTGTCAAAAAATTACTGCCTCACCAGGGGAATGTATATCCGGATCTCCATTTTAAACGACCAAAAGCTCTCTAACCTATTAGCCGCCAACGAGGCATAATCTAAAACAATATAGATATACTTTCATAAACAGCTCTGTAAATACTAATGGTGAAAGAAACCGCGCGCTGAGACGATCCAGCTCTTTACTATCCCGCGCTTATGCGATACAGCATTTGTAACCCCGATCTTCCTATACCACTTCCTTCCCGATTCTGCCTCTATATGCCTGCGTATGACGATACCGCACTTGGGACTCCGCTTCTACTATGACCCCCCCCTTTCCGAATCCCGGTTCTTTCTAAACACTGCTTTCGGCGACTCCGCTCTTCTGTATCCCGCCGTTCCCCGATCCCTGCCGCCTGTCCGCGTGTTCGCTTCCTGTCCGCGACGCGACGCGCCCCGACCGGCCCCGACGCGCCCCGCGCCACCGCGCGCCCGACGGCCCCGACCGCGCCCCGACCGCGCCCGACCGCGCCTGACCGCGCCCTGACCCGCGCCCCTGACCGCGCCCTGCACCGCGCCTGACCGCCCTCTGACCGCGCCCTGACCGCGCCCTGACCGCGCCCTGCCCGCTACCGCGCCCTGACCGCGGCCCTGACCGCGCCCTGACCGCGCCTGACCGCGCGCCTGACCGGCCCCTGGACCGCGCCCTGACCGCGCCCTGGGCCTTTCTCGCCCACAGATGCCGCATCCCACGGAGCACTTCTCCCGCGTGCCGGTTTTTCGCTTTGAGCCCGGGCTGTCGTCGCCCGCGAGGAGGAAGCGCGAGTCGTTCCCGCGCTCGCTCATGTCGCGGCTGCTGGTTCGCCCGACTCGGCGCGCGCTCGGTGGCAGCGCGCCCTCCAGCCTCGGGCCCCGCGGCGCGCGGCGACGGCGCCGCTTCCGCGCCGCCTCGGGCGCCGCTCCAGCCTGGCGGCGACTAGCGCCGACGGCCGCAATCGCTGGGGCCAGCCTTCAGCCCCACCTCGGCGGTCTGCCGCCTCGCCCGCCTCCGCCGCCTCCGCCACCTCGACCGCAGTGGGTACACGAAGCTTCCATTGAATTTGTGCTGGTTTTCTGTATGGTGATTTGTATGGTATGCTGGATGTCGTGTTGCGTGTTGTATGTGTACTGCCGTGGGTTTGTATGTGTTATGCGTGGGTTTGATGTGTATTTGCGTGGTTTGTATGTGTATGCGTGGGTTTGTATGTGTATGCGTGGTTTGGTATGTGTTATGCGTGGGTTTGGTAGTGTATGCGTGGGTTTGTATGTGTATGCGTGGTTTGTATGTGTCATCGCGGGGTTTTATGTGTTATGCGGTGGGTTGTATGTGTATGCGTGGTGTTGTAGTTATTGCTGGTTGTGAGGATGCGTGGGTTGATTAGCGTGGTTTGTATGAGCGTGGGTTTGTATGTGTATGCGTGGGTTTGTATGCTGGTATGCTGCGGTTTGTAGTGTATGCGTGGGTTTGTATGTGTAATGTGTTTGTGTGGGGGGTTGTATGTGTGTGGGGGGGGTTGTATGTGTGTGTGGGCGGGGTTGTATGTTAAGAGCATTCTGTGCAAATTTTGTTGAGCTCTAGAATCTTTACCCTCACGCAAATAGTGTACTACGTAGAATTACGGGTACGTATAGCAACGTCTTTTGCAAGTTTCTAAATGTTAAGAGGTTATAACGAACTGTTGTTTTAAGGTAGCTTTATCTGACATTTACATCACATATACATGAGTAATTAATGTACACAAATTTCCACTAGTGTAAATATTAACGACGTGAAAGACTCCGAAAGACGACGTGAATCACTCCCAGTAGAGCTCTTCCAGTCCATCATTTGGACAAATGAGATGTCATTCTTGGTCTACTGATGAGGTTTCCATTTTCTGGATCGTTCGAGAACATTCTAAGAGAATTTTTGAAAAAAATAAAAATGTGTTTTTTTATGAACTAAAAAACTTTTTGGAGAGGGTTTAAGGTACAAAGCAATAAATAGCTCATTTGATTCCTCTCGGCATCCTATAAAATTCTGTGGAAGAATTCTAAAAAAATAATGTTTGTTTCTTTTTGAGGGGAGAGGCTGTCATGGTACCTATAATAGTAAAACACTGAATTACTGTACTATCTTTCCAGCATAATGAAAATCCTTACAACATGATTTATAAACTCAAGTTATACGTAATCATATCTAATGAAACGTTAAAAAAAAAAAAATTAAAAAAATAATACTTCTATCAATAGTTTTCCATGCAAGTCACCAAGTTTGAGAAGAGATGAGCCAGACAACTGTATGTGTTTAGAATTTCTTATTATCATAGCACAAATAAAAAATGTCAACATAAAAGTATCTGCCAGAGGTGTTACACTGAGCTAGTTATTAGTGTTGTGCATGCAATGAAGGAAATTGATGTATCTTTAACACTTAATTTGCATCAAATAGTCTCCAAAGTTATTTTTAGATTTAGGAAATGGCTAACTTTTGGTGGTAACCAGTTTAATTGAATTTTAATCTTATGGATTTTGCGATTTACATTTCCAATTTTTTCTTTGAGATGGGCTTCTTACATTATGATTTTTCATGCCTTTGGATTCACCTTTTTCAGACTACATTTCTTTTTTTGTCTGACCAGTGTGATACCCTAAAATTTTGTGGGGGTGTGGTAGTTATACATTGCAGTTAAGTTCCACATCCCATAAGGGGAAGCTGGGTAAAAGCACTGGTGCTGGCTGATATTGAAGAATAGTTTCAATGAGAAACTCTCTGCAGCTTCAATAATGAAGCTGGACGAGAGATTAAAACATATTCAATTTTGGTTATTTTTTAAAATTTAATATTCTAACGAAAACCATACTTTTACCATATTTATAAGCACATTGATATAGTTGAGCAAGATATTTAGAGAAAAAATTCAGTCATTAGTGAGAACATTTTGAAAATGTGGAACTAGGAGCTTCATATGAAGTAGGCCTACCCCCAAAAGATGTTTCAATGTTAAATTTTAAGAGGTTTCAAATTTTTAAGATCCAAATGAGTACATAAATTTTTCAAAAAATCCTTCGTACCGTTTACATGTTGCTTGGATAGTGTTGCTCCACTTCATTATTTTTTATGGATTATATTACTTTTTTTATATTTTAATATATTATTTATATTTTAGATTTCATTATCAAAATATCGTTAAGTTATCATGGTAATGGTACTATATGGAGATTATTTCCTTTTATGGCTACTGAAAAATCATTTCGTTTAGGGTTAATTTGTGTATTATTGTTAATTTTATTGCATTTGGGAATATTATTGCATTATTGAAGGAGTCAGTACCAGAATGTCTGAAAAACAAAAGTGCTTGTGTACCATCACATTTGCGTGGGTATTACTTTTCCAATCTTCCTAGTATTTTACAAGACATAATTCCAAAACTTTGTCTCCATATTATTGGGAAAGAAAACTTCTTTTGGGAATGTTAGAATGAAACTGAATCATGCAGAGACTTTTCATAATTGTTCCTACTTCCATTTTACAAATGTTAATTCAAAATGAACTCGCACAGAAGAGTTATCATTGTTTTAAATGAAATTTTCTCAAATAGTCATTAATGAGATGTTTAAGAGATATGTAGTGATTATTTAAATCTTTGCTTTCTTGTGCACAGGAGTCGGTTGTCTCGTTCCAAGACAGTTGGTCGACCAGAAACAAAGAAAGAGAAGCTTAAAGGCCTGCAAATGACTGTGTGTCATGACTGCAAGACCATGGTGCTGCAGATCATAAAGTCTTCACGCACAAGTCGTTCTAATGCTATTCGTAATCTTACTCTCAACCTCTCCCCTGTGTATTAGATATAAGATAAAAAAATTGAAAATCACTGTAAATGATGCAACAAAAATTAAATTTGTGGGCCTTGTGAGATAATTTGTGAAGAGACCATTAATGGACTAAGATGGTTGTGTCTAGGTTCTTGACTTGGTGATAATAAAACACAGATTACAGACATAAAAAATTCTAAATCTGGAAGTTATTACATTAAGTCACACCTTTGACAAGCAAATTGTTCTTGTAATTGTAGTTATTGAAATTTTATTTTTGTTGCATTTAAATGAACTTGAGATGCTTAATGTACAAACGAACTATAATTGCAGTTACAGATGGTAAACCAGTCAGCAATCTTGATAGTTTGAATAGAATTTTCAAAAATGTTGTTTAGTTCTACAGACTTTTAATAAGTAAGCTTTCCTTATTATCTTTATAAATTATTTTAAGTATTGAAATGTTACCTCTTTAATCTGCTTCAAGACTTAAAATGTGACATTTTTAGTTCTTTTATTTAATATTTACAAAGCTTTGTTTAAATACAAATTTCATATAAATCTAATACATCAATCCAAGTCATCTTCCTTTGTGTAGAATCACAAGTGGAAAGCATATCACCTTGGTGCACCAAAATAATTAAAAAGAAAAACCAAGGAAAGGGATCACAAGTTCTTAAGCTAATTGAAGGGAAATTACTTCTTTAACATATTGATTAATAAAGATAATCTACATAATGAATAATCATTGCCTACATTTAGGCTCAAACACTTTCAGATACTTTGAAGAATTTAGATTTGGTAAAACACATTGCAGAATTATTATAACATTACTGATATAAAATCTTGGCAAACCTACTGCTCAGGTTTAAAAAGATAAATGGAACATGGAAATATTTTTACTATACTTGTAAATAATAGTCAACAAAAGGAAATTATGTGATATTGTACTTAGTGGCATTCCCTAATAAAAAAAAACAAGCTTACTGTATGTGGAGGAAATCTACACATAACATTGATACGATGTAGCCTGACTGCAGATAAAATATTAAACATGATATCATGTTCTTTAATCTTGTTTACCAAAAAATGAAATCAAAGATGTGACTGAACAACATTTGCAGTCAGACTATATTTACATAGTAAAAATTTATGTTATATTAAAGAAAATGTTTGCTTTGTGGTCACTGATATTTTTCAAAATCTTTATTTCTTGATGTGATCTTTCTTGTTTGTAAAATTAAATTTTTCCATCACATTTCATCAAAATGGTCAAATTAGGGCAGACATAGAGGAAAAGGTATGTAATGAAAAGATTTGATTGGGTGTGCAATTTACAAAATGAAAAAAATAAAATAAAAAGAAGGTTAAGCTTTGGATCTCATTATCTTGGTTCTCACAGATGTAAGTTCCATGTTTTATGTAATGTCAAGAGATTTGAATATTGTTGAATCAAGACCAGTTCATGAAACAAATCTCCCTAATTCGATCATTTAAAATAGTGAATTTTTCTTAAATCAGTGTGCTTATGTGCTCAGATATGAATTGCTGTCAAGATTCTGCACTGCAGATGTGATGTGATGCATTATCACAGGTTTGTGCCTTACTGTGTTCTGCGGATGACACAGCAAACATCTTTATAATGGGAATGACATCTATTTGAATAAACTGCTTTCAGATGATTGTTTCATCTCAAATCAAGGCATGATGAAAAGAGTTCTATATCATAAACATTCAAATAATATTACAAAATCCTTTTTAAAAAGTTTTTTTTTGTTGGTACCTTAAAAAAAATACCTATTTATATATTAGTCATTTTTAGGTGAACTTTCTCCTAAAATTCTGGAGAAAATTTGCAACTTGAGATGTGCTCAAAGATGAAAAAAAACATTTTTGTCAGAGTCCTCTTGTTCACCATTCTTGGCAGTTGGTGCTGTGTCAGCAGTGAATCATATCTGAGTAATGCACACTGCAAGAGGAAGTAGCAACCCCCTCTAAAATGCTGAGTTAGTCTTAGTACCCAATTCTTGTACCTGACTTAATCCAAGTAGTACTTATAGAAGTAAAATAAGCCTCAGAATCTCCTCTGTTTAAAAGCCTCTTGATACTTATGAGTTAATGTTGAGAATTGTGAAATATGAGCACAAAATCTTATTTTTTAATTTTGTGAAAAATGTCTCCTATTGATACCCAGCCTCTTTAAAGACTTTATTTTCTAAACAGCAGAAACAGTTGTTTCTTTTTTGGATCTGTGTGAATCATCAATGAGACTATAAAAATATGTAAGAGTTTTCAGCCCCATTTTCAAAACACATTTCATTTATGCACATTACCAGCGTGCATCACGCATTGTACAACTGTATTATTAAAGTCTTATTAGATTAACAAATGTGAAATTTGTAAATAGACCTTCTACAATGGTCTCTTCTACAATGCATATAAGCATCAGGTCAGATGTTAAAAGTTTCTGCTGAACATAATTGTAAAGTGAATCTATAAATAATTCTATGTATATGTAATTACTCTGTACTAAAGTGTATATGAAGCTGTAGATAAAGCTAATGTTAAGATGTGTAATTGGCATCCAATTGGTTATATAGTTAACAAGTTAGAAATTGGTCTCGCTCTGATGTGTTTTCTGTTCTACAACCCAACCCAATCACATACCTTCAATGTAATACAGGATTTCGTTATCTGACCAATATAATGAACTGCTTTGTCAGAGACCACGTATTCTGTTACTCATGGATGTAACTAAGTTTCAGTGGGGCAAAACTAAAATCATTTGATAAATCTGGAATGAAATAATTATTTAAAAGTTAATTGTGTATTACTTTAGCACCTCTTGGATCAAAAATGTTATTTCTTAAATATGTTGTGTACTGTATCTCCTGTGAAAGATATTATCACCACAATCATTACCCACAGGTTAAAAATCTGGCTCCAGGAAGCTGCCTTTGGAGTGGCACTTTTCATATTTCTCTTCTTTATATAATTCTGTTTTATAGATTTCCACTTGTTTATAATTAATTATACAAATATTTTTAAATACCTGCAACATTTTCATTAATTGCTCCAAAAATTGGAGATGCAATTGTCCCCTTCCCAAGTTACTCCTTGGCTGGTTCTCTGACCAAGTGGTTCTTATAAATGTGAATCCACAAACAATGAAAATCATCTTTTAGGGATGTTTATGTCTGTCAGTTCTATAATCTTAATAGAACATTGGATTGTGAACTTTTGGAACTCTTACTTTTTTTTACACATTTTTTGAATATATTTCTGTTTCATAGTATTTGGTTGCTTTCATTTAAAATTTTTCTAAATCACGCAATGATACATTTTGGAAAAAAATGACAGTGCATTTATTGCAAGTTAAATCAATAAGAAAGTCACTGATAGTTGAGATAAATTCAGAAATTGCATTATCAAATTAATCAATTAATGAACTGGCAAGAGTTGAAAAGGCCTGACTTACAATGATGTACTTACCAACAAATCTATAAAATTACATTCAGTCACCCATTAATTAATGTTTAAATTTTGTCCTAATTTCTATCCATATATGCTGAATTAATTTACATTAAAAAAAAATTCCAAACTTTAGAATTAACAGATCAATATAACTAAGTGCAGAAGATGTAGAAGAGAAGTGAGGCATAGACATCACTTAAATGATGGATTCAACATACATTAAGATTAGTGAAATAAAAGGGCTTATTTGCATTGCCTTGTTTCTTTTAGGACCATTGAGACTTTGAAAGAAATGAAGTTTGGAGTATGGTTACTCATTACTGACACACTAAAAAGATCATATGATTGTCTTTGAAAGAGGAGACTTTGTATAGATATTCCTGGAATATATTGGTGCGTTACACAAGATATCAATGCGGCCTTTTCATTTGTCTCTTTCTTCAGAATTCATTGTGCCACAATCTTACACAACACACACATCATTATTTTGGCTTGCATAATACTTTAAGCCTGTTTGACTAGCAAACTTCAGTTATCTTCATTGAACTTTTAATATGAATTTGAGAAAAAATTCACTCAATATTGGATTTTGTAAGAAACATGTATAAAAATGTTTTTAAATCTTGATGACCAAACAACTACAACTTTTTAAATGCTATTACATCCCAAATGAATTAAATTAATAATGATGAATAACATGTTAAATTAATCAATTCAATGATGAATAGTTAAAAGAATAGAAGTGATTAATTTTTTTTTAACACAACAGTAATCAAAGTAAAGACACGTGACAAACATCTGCAAAATGGATAAGTACAGAATAATGGAGGATGAAATTTGTAATGAAAAAGATACTTATGAAAATATCTCTCATCCCCTTGCCTTGGTAATATATCATTAATTACCTAGGACATGCTTGCAGATTGATTTCACAGTTACTTTTGTACAGATATATTTCATGTATGAATAATAGGGTTGTTTTTCACCCCAAAGTCAGGAATTAATATTACCAGTAGCATATATAGTTGCATCAGTACAATGAATGAACTATTTTCACTTTCTGGTAAATAACGATGATAATGTAACGTATTAGCCAGCGTGCCTCATGGCATCTATTTGGGATTCTTGCGTTGCGATTAGGTCTCGCCAGGTAGTAGGATTTTTCCTAAAGGGAGAACGCGGGAGACGGGAGAACAAGGCTTTGGGTGTCTTCCGGCTTATAGAGCTTTTCACTGTTATAACAAGCGAGGGGGTGGCGTGACTAGGAGGTCACGTGGGCTCGCCTATATAAAGAGTGTACGGGCCAGTAGGCAGGTTCGGAGACGGTGGGAAAACCTCGTGCGTGTCACAAAACGTGGCCCAAGACTAGGTCATATGCGCAGCCAGGCTGCGCGAGGCTGGATGTCATTGTTGACGAAGCCTGCGACTTTATGTCCTTGGTGACTGGCGGTTCACGGGGAGCGATGCTTGTGTGCGTGCTCCGCGGGTGAAGAGTGGTTGAGTGCCACGATTCACGCCGATTCTCAATCGGATAAGATCGCTCTGCCTGCGATCGAGGCAAACCAGCGTTGGTGCGCCAGAACGGGACTTTGTGGTCCAGCCGTGACATCCGGTACGGAAGCTAGCTTTGTGCGCGCTTCAAAGTAGGAGTGGCGAATGCCCACAATTCAAACCATCTTCAATCAGGGTTTGGATCGCTCCCGCGATCAGGGATAGAGTCTTCAGAGCTAGGGTGTAAGAATTATTAAGCTGTATATATATTGTGTTTGTTTTCTTTCTCATAAAGTATATTGTTATACGAAAGCT